ATCAGACATTCTATTCTCCAAGAGGAGTTCACCTGGCATTCTTGATGAACTCCCAGGTAAAGGAGGAAAATTTGAAGCTAGTAAGTCAAACTTTGGTGTTGGAGACTTTGCTTCAGCGGAAGGATGGGGTCTTGGGATCCTTTCATCTTCTTGTCAACTTTGACCTCTGAAAAGAGTTCTCCTGCCCCTACCGTAGTCCCCATTTTATTCCGTTTGTAAAATGAGAGTCTCCTTTGGAAGGTAAGTTTGCTCTCAATGCCCTGTTACTATAGGGTTATGCAGTTCAGGTGCAAAGTTCCTTGAACTAATCTGTTCAATGGTCCATCCCTCAATGACACAGAGCCCTCTGTGGAGTGTTCTGTACCACTGGACGACCTAAAATGAGGCTTCACACGATTTTTTGGGAATGGCTGACCCATATTCATAGCAGCAGCATTTGTTTTATAAGATCCTGGTGAGTTAAAGCCATTCACAAAATGACCACTGGGGAGGGAGCCAGTGGTGTTTCAAAGTAAGGTGCAGGACTTGGGGACCAAGACTAAGCACAATACTATAAACTGAGTGCTGTTGGTGAGGATCATACACAGGCTGCATAAAGACTGGCGAGGCATACTGCGCTTGAGCTTGAATGGGCTGACTATACATTCTAGAATCCATTAATCAAAAAACATTCTTAGCAAAGAATGTATTGATGGCTTTTATCCTCGCCATGATTGGCTTGCCCTGAAATGTTTTAACTTCTTCTCTTAAGTATTTAAATGCCTGTTGTGCATCAGTATCTGACTGGAAGGTGATGTACCAGTTGCTATTGTGTGCAAACTCACAGCTTATCGCTTCGGGGCAGTTTTCATTTTTGAACAAGGCTTTCACCTCCTCTGCTGGTGTGGCTTCAGGAATCTCTCTGAGAATCCCAACACAACGTGTATGACTCGGTCTCACTTTCTGCCCTTTCTCATGAACTTGTACCATTGGAGACGACCTCAGCGCTTCAGGAATTAGATCAAGATCTGTGGCCAACTTTTTTATTTCTTCCATGTTGGCAACTGTCCATATTGGGACGAACTGATCACTATCCATTTGGGATATCAAGTAAAGATCCTTCGATAAATTTTCTCCTGAAAAACAGAATTCTAATTGTTTCTTCAGGCATTTTTTTAGATCTTCTGTAGAAATTGCCGAACTGCTTTCTCCAGAAATGTCATATATTTGGTAACTCATATCTTTGGGTCCTAAAATCATTCCTTCAACTGGTTCTTCAATGCCAGCAGTAGTTCTTGTGGTTTCACAAGATGGAGAATACATTATTTCATATTCTTTACAGATATCTTCTGAAAGCTCTGTACTGCCCTCAGTCTGAGACCCTGACGTGGCTGCTGTTTCAGGCCAAGAGCTTTCAGTTCCTTGAGTTACAGGAGTGGCATCAGGATTTCCAGGAGGAATTTCTTGCCATACTTTGGCATTAGGATTTAAACCAGTCCCTTTAGATGTTACCTGCTCCACGAAAAGCAACATGTTTTCCTCTGCTCGGCTCAATCGTTCCCGACACCGCGACTCCAACTGGTTCACAGGCCTGAGCCCGAATCGCTAGGATAAGGACACTCACCTCGCCCCTCCACCCGGCCGTGGACTGTAGCTTTTCTTATTTTGAGAAATGTTTGATGTGTTAAATAGCTTACGGTAATATTGCTCAAAGTTAAAGAAAAGTGAAAAGAAAAAATATCAACCATTTAGAAAGAAATTCGTATTAGAAATTGAAGATAAAAACTTAAAATGGCAATGATTTCTAAGATTTTTTCCGTGTATTAAGAAAACAGATTTGCACTGTAAATATCAAAGAAAATAATGTTTAACATGGGGCTGGGGATTTAGTTCAGTGGTTTCACTGCCTGCTTCTCAAGTGCAAGGACCCGAGTTCGATCCTCGGTACCAAAAAAAATATATAATAATAATAATAATAATAATGTTGAACAAAATCACCATTAAATGTGACAAAACGTCATACTACATGAAAGTTAAAATCTACAATGATTTCTAAATTGAAAAGAAAATTTCTTTTGCTGAGGAATTAAAAAAAATGTTGGGACAACAACTTCTACTGTAACAGACTAAATTTCTTTTTTAAAATTAATTTTATTGGTACATTTTAGATATGCAATATAATGACATTCATTATTGGAAATTTGTACCTTTAAGTGATATATTTTAGTTCTTATTTTTCCCCATTTCACTGCCCTCCCTTCAACTCCTCCACTCCTCCCTGTTTACAAAGACTTTGTT